TGATGGGCTTGTAGCTTAGTTTTCCAGCGGTTTCGTGAGTTTGATGGAGCACTTAGACTTCCTGCGTGCTCAAGTTAGTCGGAGCGTACGACCGAGCGTGTCCTTCACAGTCAGAGAACTGGGCAAAAGAACAAAGTTTCTTTGTTCCGTTGTGATTTATAGCCTTTGAAGTCGCGGGAAAGCTCCATGAGCTCCTGCACATGCGCAGAACGTTTTTCTGGTATTAGGCGGTGACGTCTTCACATTGCTTCCGTGTGCAAAGCATCATGGGAAATGAAGTGTCTTTTGGCGCTGATGTTTAATATCTGCTTTTCAAAGCAATTTAGCAGTCTTTTGGAGAAAATTACTGCAGCAATTTCTCATGAGGGCATACCCTCAACATAACCCTCAGCAGAACTTCCCCTGAACTCTACACTACACCTCTATATACATATTAGCAGTGCTCTTCTACCACCTAGTGCTCAGTTAAGTACACTTACATCAGTTACACTTCATCAAAAACACTTGTACTAATATGTACACATCCCAACAACTCCCAAAATGTTTACTTTTATGATGAGACCAAAGTAATCAAACAGATGAAGGCAACTGGACTTTGATTGGTTGATTACAGGTGAAGGTTCTCAGTCACCCTGGTCAGGGTAATCTAAAAGGGTTCTAATGAATGCTACTGGGCTTCTTTGGTTTCTTGACGATGTTTCGCTTCTCATCCAAGGAGCTTTGTCCATGCTGACTGGAATATGGGAGAGTCAAGCTTTGTCTATTTGTCTGTTGTTATTTAATGAGCAGAAACTACTCTGAGTACCCCTCCTCTACCCCCTGATGAGTCGTTAGCCTTTATTGAGAGGGAGTCATTGTGTTGATTAGAAGCAGGAAGTCTGACTTAAGCAGTTTTTACAGGACGAGAGCGTTTGCAAAATGGGATTTGCCGCGGCTCCCTAGGGAGGATAAAGGTTGTTTATAAGATCAGACCGTGGCGGTAATGTGGTGCAATCGTGGCAATTTTATAAAAGATTAGGTGATGGCGGCATAAAGGGGGTATGGGGCGGTCTTTGCGCTGCCGCAGACTTCCGTTTATCTTGGACATAACTTGCTTTTTATTGTGATTGAAGCCGTGATCGTTAAGTTTTTTTTAACAAGCAGCTCCCAAAGGTGTCTGTCCCCATCAGTCCCTGTGCAGTCTCTGGTGATCTGAGCTTCAGCTCTAACGGAGAGGCTCATGGAGCGTTGCGGCGCTCCAGTCTGCCATCTCAGCTGATTTTGTTCAAAAAGCAAACCTTATTGCCCGTGTTTACTTTCATTTTCAATACATTTGCCAGCCGGAGCTCAGCAATAACTCCCGACGTTTCGTTTGTGACGTAGTGACAACGTAGCTGCTACGTTTAGGTTACTACGTTCCACAGAGACGTTGTTGGTACATTGCCGAAACGTCACACTACAACGTCCTCAGAAAGTCGCTTTACAACTTCTGTTAAATGTCCTCTCTGTAACTTAGTCGGCACTTTGAATAACAACGTTGCTGCTACGTTGTTACAACGTGATAACTGTAGTTCCACAATAAATAAAATTTAAGAGAGATTTTATCATCAAATTAGATTTTCTGCTTGTCCATATTTTGTGATTCTAATCTGGATTTTGTTAAAATTAAAAATGTTTTCCTCAACACACATGAAAAATAACACACAAAGATATAATTTAATTTGGTCTTTTAATGCTTTGTTTTTTATTATTGTTAGAGTTTTGACAATAATTAAATAAACAATTAGTAGTTGCAGTATTTGAATCATGTTCATAGCTAAAATGTCTTTCTAATTAAAAAAAATGGGACTTTTTATTTTATGAAAAAAACGTTTCTAACCTTTGTTTACTGAAAAAAAAAAACGTGTTTGCATTTGGCAAAAACAAGTTCTGAATGTACCAAAAGGTTTAAGGAGGAGCTACTAGATTCTTGAATGAGGATGCTTAATGGGCGTCAGCTCGAAGGGGGTTATTTGCATTTAAATCATATCCTGTCTACCACCATTTGTTACCTTTGAAAACCCACCATGGGATGGATGGAAAATTACTCTGGCCGGCTCACGCTTTCTCTCCTCTGCTGAGCAGCCATACGTCGCTATTGAGGGGGAGGCCCTGGCTGCAGCATGGGGTCTGGAGCAGACCAGATACTTCACACAGGGGTGCGACAATCTGGTCGTGGTCACCAACCATAAGCCCCTGGTGAAGATCCTTGGGGACCGGACATTGGATGAGATAACTAACTCTCACCTGTTCAGGCTCAAACAGCGCACACTCCCATGGCGCTTTCACATTGTACACTTGCCTGACAAGAGCAACTGCACTGCCGACACAGCCTCCAGGTATCCCTCGCCCTCTGGCTCTGATGAGGGCCGCGGCATGGGCATATGGAATGTGACTGATAGCGAGGAGTCGGTGCATATTTCATCCATTTGCAGCGATGCACTGGAGTCTGCTGCCATTGCATGGCCACTCCTCGCACAGGAGACGGCCACGGAGGCATGCCTCTCCCACCTCCTGCACCTCATTGAAGACGGGGGCAGCACTGACCCAAAGGACCCGGCGCTGGCCGACCTGTCTAAGGTCTGTGAGTCAGTGTATGCGCAAGATGGGGTCCTGCTGTACTGTGACCGCATCGTTGTCCCCACGTCCCTTCATCGTGCGGTACTTCAGCACCTCCACATCGTCCATCAGGGCAAGTCGGCAATGGAACGACGGGCCTGCTCCATCGTATACTAGCCTGGGATGTCTAACGACATCCAGTTGACCAGGGAGCGATGCGCAGACTGTAACCGCAATGCCCCCTCGCAGGCGGCCACACCTCCCATGCCGGCATCACCGCCATCCACGCCATTTGAGGAGGTGTTTGCAGACTTCTTCAACTACAGGGGTCACCACTACCTGGTCGTTGGCGATCACCTCTCTGGCTGGGTGGAAGTCATGAGCTCTCCCGCGGGCACCAATCTCGGGGGCTCCATTGGGCTTATCCGTCACTTAAGGGCTTTCTTCGCCACATTTGGTGTGCCCGAGGAGTTGTCAAGTGACGGAGGCCCGGAGTTCTCGGCAGGGCGCACAGTGGATTTCCTCTGCTTACGGCAGGGCAAGCACCGCATGTCCTCGGTTGGGTTCCCCCAGTCTAATGGAAGGGCGGAGGTGGCTGTCAAGATGGCGAAGCGCCTACTAATCTCAAACACCGGCCCGACCGGGAGCCTCGACCATGGCCGCTTTCTGCGTGCAATGTTGCAACTGCGTAATATGCCTGACCCCGACTGCGACCAGTCGCCCGCACAAATCATCTTTGGTCGCTCCCTCAGGGACTCGCTGTCATTTGTTAATAGGCTGGAGAAGTTCTCCAACCCTCACATCCCTCCGCTCTGGCGTCAGGCATGGGCGGCGAAGGAAGAGGTCCTCCGGACTCGGATGGCCCGTACCACTGAGTCTCTGAGAGAACACGTACGACCGCTCCACCCTCTCGTAGTCGGGGAGGCGGTGTTCCTCCAGAACCTAGTTGGCGGTAGCCCGCGGGCATGGGGCAGATCTGGGGTGGTAGTAGAGTCACTAGGACACGACCAATACCGTGTCAGGATTGATGGGTCTGGCTGCCTCACCCTGCGCAACCGGCGCTTTCTCCGCGCCTTCACCCCGGCCACCCCTCGCACTCACCCAGAGAGTGCTGCGCCCCTGCCTGCGTCCAACGACGAGACACACGACTTAGGTCCCACCAACCGGGGGTCAGCGGGACCCCTGCCAGATCAGTCACACACACCACCCGAGCCCCAAGGCACAAACCCCGGCACCGCCCAGCCGGTACCGAATCCTCCAGACGTAGCCAACGGGGATGCTGCCCAAGCGGCGCAACCCCGTAACAGTGCCCATCACCTCCCTCCTCCCAGCCAGCGGGCTCCGGTCGGGTAAGACGGCCACCCAAGCGGTATGTACCTGAAACTGGCCAGTGGGTTAGGTCATGAGTCCACTGCGCCGGTGCGTCACACGGCTTCCTGGACTGGGGGGGGGGTTGGTGCAGAGGTCACCACTGGCCACTAGGGTGTGCTGTGATCAAGCCTCGAGGGAAAAAGGTGTATTCAGGGATGTGCCTGAAGTCACGTACATGTTACTATCCCTCACTGTACATACTGCTGCCTCTCATTTGGATTGCTGCTGCCCAACCATCACACTGCTGTCTAACTATGCTACTGTTCGACTTGTATCTCTAAGTCTTCACCTGCTTGTTAAGCTAATGTAATGGTCACCTTCCCTACTAACACAGGTCCGTTGCAACAACGTAGTCGCAACGTATTTTCTGACACCTTGTGATGTTGCAGGAACGTCGCATGTTACGTAGTAGCGACTTCCAAAGTGAAATTCCGCTACGACGTTGTCAGAACGTCACATAGGACGTTGCTGGAACGTTGTCGCGACATATCCACAACTTTACTGCAATGTTGTGACAACATCGCTATTATAACGTTGTGACAACGTACCAACTAAATGTTTGTGGCACGTTGCAGAGACGTTTTCAGGTTAACCTTTTTTTTCACCTTTATTAATTATTTACCACAGAAAATTATAGTGCAAAACTAATGGCAGATTAACAGCAAAAACAACCAGAATGGAAAAACAAATGTATAAAAACCTTAAAAACAAGTAATATAGGACAGCGGTGTCATGATTTCATTTAAAAGCTCTACTGCATATGTTTAGTATGCATATGTTTTCGTTTCGGAACCACTGGAGGAGATAATGCAAAGGATTCTCCAGAGAATCAAGAAAATTATGGACAACCCTGAGCATTCTCTTCACAAGACTTGAGGATCCTTCCTGCCAACAGCCATTGTAATATACAACAACTCTGATGACTTGATTATTATTATTATTCTGAGCTACTACAGCAATCAATTTCCCTCTGGGATTAATAAAGTATTTTTGAATTGAATGGAATAGTAGGCAGCAGGATCAGATGTAATTTCACAGGATGGACAATAAACTGACTTTTCAGCTTTTTATTACATAAAGATTTGACACTTGCATACACAATTTAAACAAAACATTTTTATAGCGCCTCTCAAAATAAAAACCACAAGGCGCTTTAAAAAAATGATCAAAAAAAATATATAAAAATAGAAAAATCTAAAATTGTGAACAAAACTGAGAAAAATAAAACAGAAAGGGTGCAGGTTCACTTAGTCCTCCTCAGAAGAATGGGCCTCCATTTGTGTGGCACGATGCTGTGCTTCAGCCTGAAGGAAAAAAAAGGAGGTATACATTAGTGAGCAATTAACACATAAATGTCTCCAACAAGCTTTCAGTCATAAATCAATTACCTCTCTTCTGACTTTCTGGGGAGCATGCGTAAGGACTTCCATTATTTGCACCTCTATGTCCTTATCTGTGGAGTCTGGAAGCGAGGTCTTCACAGCACCTGGGAACAGACAGGTGATATACAGGAAACCTTAAGATTACTTAAACTGTTTTACAGTTCTGACAGCTGTAAGATTTAATGAAATTCTATAAAACATGTCCAGTAAAAAGCATCAACTCACGTTTGATCAGCCTGAATATTTTAAGGTTACACAGCTTGGCTTTCTGCTTCTTCCCATGCAGGCTGTATCCACACCAAACAGCATTGCTGGCGACAGCCAGCATGGTCCGTCTTGTATTTTCTCCCAGCTTCCGTCCTCCAATGAGGCTTAGAAAACGGACCTTATAAATTGTACAAAGTTGATCAAATAAAATATCAGATTTCATTAAAACCATTTTCTGAATGTCTACAATTGTTTACTTACAGCTTGCTGGAAATATGCCTTGTCCTGCAAGTTATTGTCAAGCAAGGTAAAGTCCTCCGCATCTTTACAAGGCTCCAGGCGCAGATCATCTTGAGTTTGGCTCTCAGAATGCCGAGAAGCCACATTATGGAGCAGCTTCTCCATGGTGTGCATTTTCCCCTCCATCATGTTCACTTTTATTAGCAGTGACTTGCAGATATCTTGGACAAAAGAAGAATCATAAATTACAACACAAATAATAGATTTAACTTATAAGTGGACCTTTTAAAAAGGGGAAACTCAATCTCACCTGTGATTGCAGCATTATTCCTTAAAGCATCAGCGATGCCTGCTGCTTGATCTGAAATGATAAAATGATAAGTTCTCAAAAAAAAATCTACCAAAACATTTTAATACACCACTCTAGGTTTTGGTAGAGGTATTTTAAGTTACTTGCCTTCAGTGGCTTTTTGCCTTGGGGTGACCCTTTGCCTTGGTGTACTTGTGGCCATTAAATCTATGAGTTGACAAAACACATTTTAATAGTAGTAGTGCAAAGTTTTAAAAGGCAAATATACAAACCAGTAGACATTTTAGTTACAGCAGAAGATAAAATGTGTACCTTCACCGTTGAGGGACTCAGCTGGCAGTGTTGTCCTCTTCGAAACAGGAACTGAAGGGGGCAAAACATATCAAAACTAAATTAAACAAATAAATTTGACAGCAGTCTAAAGAAGCTGGTGGGCAGTCTAGAGGACAAATTGAAGTATGGCCTGAATAAATTAAATAAACATAAAGGAAAATATACACACCATCTCTGCTGGATGGTTCTATCAGCAACAGCGTTCTCTCTGCCATGGGAACTGCAAAAAATGAAAAAAAAAAAAAAAAAAAAAAAAAACAGAAAAAAAAACGACAACATTATTGGGCTAGAAAATTACTATGGAGCTCTGCACCCCACAAAATAAAATTAGATTTAGTTAAAAACACAAGTTCTAGCAGTAGAACATCGGCTCAAAACTAACCTCTCGTTCTCTCAGTAGAGCATGGACCTGAAAGCAAACAGATATGTTTTTTTTTGTTGCTATTTTATATTATTAAAAAGAATATACAACATGTTTATGACAGAACCATTACCTGCTTCATCATCAGAGCTGGACAGGTACCGCTTATTGTTCTTAACCTTTCGTTTGGTCACCTCTCTCTCTCACTCTCGGCTTGGGAATCTTCCAGCTACTGCCTGGCAAGACACTTGGCTTCTTCATATTCCTCTTAATAAGCATAACAGTCAAGTTCATATGAAAAGATTCGAAGGAAACCATTTAAATGTGATGGCCAAGTAGTAGTTGCAGTACCTGTTTGGCGCTGAAATAGCCTTACTCTATGTTGAGTCCAATCAGGAGATGGATGTTCCACATTTAGGTTCCTGAATGTGGTTTTGTTTGCTGTCCAGTAACAATAATGCACCTAAGATTTTGGAAAAGAGACTAGTTTCCAACCAAGTTTACACAGACACATAGCCACAGGAATTTCTGCATAAACTGCATGTTCAAAAAACAACAAACTCACCCATTGTTTATGAAAATTTAGCTTTTGACTACACATCTCAAACTAAAGCAATACTTTGTGTTACAATGTTTAATACTAGCTAACTAAACAATTTGATTCTTTATTCTTTTGCTAGTTTGGAAGACTGGGTTGCCCAAGTCCAGTCCTTGGGATATTTTAGATACATCCTTGCTCAAATGGCTAAAAGTCCATCACGCCCCCTGCCCCAAACACAAATTTCTAACGCTCCATTCATGTTTAGCTAAACATGGCCGTCTCTCTACACAAGATCTCAATAAAGTCGACAGACACAGTGAAAAGGCTTGCTTAAACACCAATAAACATTACCTAATTATTAAAAACCACTGAGCCGCAAAACGTTTAGGGCCGAACATTAGCCCAGAGGTTTACTGATCGAGCAGACATGTGAGAACACGTGTAATGACCGCTTAGCAATGGGGCTACCTTGTGGCTAACGGTAGCTGGACTGCTAACTCTACAAATACACTGGTTGTAGTTATATCAATAGAATAGTTACAGAGTCATCTTGCTTAAAATTAGATTGATATTATTCTAATTCAAGCGAAAAGTCCAGTTAGTTTGTTTGATTTTACTTGAACAGACCGAATAAACTACAGTAGGTAAGCTACCATGCGGTAGCTATTGTTTGAGGGCAGATATATGCTATTGCCTTTTGTAAACCAAATTTAGAACTAACAAGCACATGATAAAACTTTTTCTTACCTGAAGCAAGCGAACTAAGGAGTGAGTGGTTGACAAATAAATCCGAAGTAGCCAAATAGCAAAGAGCAACTAACTGGAAATCTTGTGGAATTAAAGAAGGGATGAAATAAGAACAAAAAAAGAGGCAGAGTAAGCTGATTGGAAGATGGTGTGGAACATGTGATGACCATAACAAATCAGATAACTGGCTGGAACAGGGTTGTTGCAACAAGCCATTCCATTGGAATGCTGTGAGGCAAGTAACATGTAAATTAGCCTACATTTCCTTGCTGGTGGATTTTAGAAAGTAACATTTGTAAACAGCAAAAATGAGTTTTTCAGTAAACAAAGTTTAGAATTTTTTTTTCCATAAAATATAAAGTCCAACTTTTTTAAATTAGAAAGACATTTTAGCTATAAACATGATTCAAGTACTGCAACTACTAATTGTTTATTTAATTATTGTCAAAACTCTAATAATAATAAAAAACAATTAAAATACCCAAAGATTAAATATCTTTGTGTGTTATTTTTCATGGATAAGCTGAAAATCTAATTTGATGATAAAATCTCTCAAATTTTATTTATTCTGGAACTACAGTTATCACGTTGTAACAACGTAGCAGCAACGTTGTTATTCAAAGTGCCGAATAAGTTACAGAGAGGACATTTAACAGAGGTTGTAAAGCGACTTTTGGAGGACGTTGTAGTGTGACGTTTCAGCAATGTAACAACAACGTCCCCTGTGGAACGTAGTAACCTAAACGTAGCAGCTACGTTGTCACTACGTCACAAACGAAACGTCGCAAAATGCGACGTTGTGGCGACTTTCTGTGTTAGTAGGGTTGTCAGTATGCATCAAGCCCCCACAATGCAGCTCTAAAATTGGTCCCAACCCGGAAGTACCAGAAATTGCAGTTCCACCCTCATCCGCTGGGGGCTGGTATCAGAAGCGAGCAAATCCTCATTGACTCCCATGTTAAAAATACCAATTTCACAGCAGAAATAAACATGTTTACAGCCTGGTACCAGAACATGTTTTTTGTCTAAATTATCTTGTTTACACTCATGACAACTCTGAGGGGGGTGAATTTTTTCTCACTCTTCTGTTTAAGTGTATTGAAAGCCTAAAATTCTGTATAATTAATGAGCATCCGACACACGTGACCACCGCCTCAGACCCACGTGACCACAGAGCTAGCTCCGTGGAAAGGCCTCAGTACAGCCTCGGTCTCTCCTGGAAACTGTTTCGGGATTTTGAGTCTCTGTGCTTGTGAATTCTGTTTTGGATATTAGTTGTGCAATTGTTAGACAAAATGACTTGCTGTGGCATTAATTGCACTAATAGAGCATCCAAGGAGTCTCCACTTCTTTTTTTTTTTCGGTAAGTTAAATTAAATGTATGTATTTTAGGTCACTGCCGCCTTTAAACTAGCTGAGTTTATCGAAGTAGCTAGCTAACTATCATTTTAACATGTAGCATGTACTGTTTGACCATGAAATTTAGATGTAAAACACGGTAAAATAATTAATAGGGCATATGTCGATGGGTAAAACCCAGTGCATTTAACATAAAATGGGTTGAAATCGCTGAAATATGACGGAGCGCTTGGAGGGACACTTCTGTGTTTCATTCTTCCATCCGGTTCTCCCCAGCGGTCAGGCCCCGATGCGGCGCCTAGCTGCTGCGCGGGCTGACCGCTCGTGGAGCTCTCGGACTCGGAGACAGATCTGACCGGAGAAATACTGCAGCTCGGTGAGTTGTTTGATAGTGCTTGATGTTAGTCTCCATAAGTCTATAGGGCATACAGGGTTTCACTTAAATCCCACCGCCTTGGCTCGTTCACCCTCTGCCGAGCCGGACTGAGCTCGATAACATTGTCCCAGCACAGCCACTGGGTCGTTGGAGCTGCCACCGGGCCTGCTGAAGGAACACCAGCAAGTTTCATCAGACTCGTAAAGTTTCTTGTTTTTGCTGGGGACCCCCTGTATTTTACCGCTCCCTCCTGCAGTCTTCCCCTATTAAAATTTAAAATGATTCTGTAAAATCTGTGTATCAATAGAAAAAATCTCTGCGTCTGCCAGCTGCAGTAAATGTAGTCTCCAAATAATAAATAGGAGGTGCATTCATCTGTGTATCTCCTTTGGTCCACATTAGGCCTAGTCCACACGTAGCCGGCTTTTTTAAAAAACGAATATCCGCCCCTCCAAAAACTTGCATCCACACCACCTCGTTTTAAAAGAAAACTGTCCACACGTTCCCAGATAAATACGTTGTTAAGGACATGCCAGACCTGTAGGCGGCAGTACTTCCCCCGTTCTTAACCTCGTCCTTCGTCTGTGGTCTTCCGCAAGGAGCAGTAATTCCGCTTGCAAAAACAAACCAGCAAAAAGCGCTTGGACAATTGATAAAGCGAGCGCAGCTCTGAGGGCATCCATGCTGTCGGCTAGTGTAAACACAGGTCGCACACGTGATGTCAGCATTTTTTTGTCACGGAAAGTGACGTTGCGGACCTTAAAACTCCAGTTTTGTCTGTCCACACGCAGACACCCAAAACGGAGAAAACACAGATCTTCACTTTGGCCGGAGTTTTTAAAAAGATCCGTTTTCGTGTGAAAAAACTCAGTTTTTGTGTGGATGACAGACCAAAACGTAGAAAAATATCTACGTTTTGGCAGATCCCCGGCTACGTGTGGACAGGGCCTCAGTGATATTTTCAGCACCAGAACAGTGAAGCAACAGATTCCTGAGTTTGTTAGTAATTTTATTTATTAGGTGCATCTAACCTGTTCTATTTTTCTCTGAAATGAGATCAAATCAGTGCTTCTATGGGGTTGGCTCCACTCTGCACTAGAAATTTTTACTTTATTTAGAGACGTGTCATAATTCCTCCCCAAGCCTGACCTGACTGCAGAAATACAGCAGCTCGGTGAGTTGGTTGATAGTGCTTGATGTTAGAAGTCTGTATGCCATACCAAGGACGGATAATGGAGTTGCGTGTCTCTGCACTGACGCAGGAGAAGCATGAATCAGGCTTAAGATCAACCCTCCTATATTCATGAAAACTAAGAAGTCTGATTGCCTTCTTTAAAAATCCATTTGATGTCATACTGAACAACGTATTGTATTTGATTCTAATTTTAATGATTCTGTTTCAGGTGGAAATGCTGTGTGATTCCTGTGTCCTGTGGCCCATGACCTGTGTCAGCCCGATTCTGGATGTGGCCTTGCTGACTTATCTGTAGCAAGGTTTTCTGGTGCCTGGGGCCGTTCCAGAGTGCACCTGATCCTTGGAGGTCTAACACTTCACATTCCAGCACACACACGAACACATGCTTGTTGATGTTTGTTGTTCATTATGTTTGTGGTTCATGGTTTACATGTTTATAGTTGTTCATCCCACGTTTTCTTGATGATTCTTAGAAATGTTTCTTCACAGGTGCAGCTGCTGGTTGCTGTTTTTATGTTGGTTTCCTAGTTGTATTAATTTTTCTCTCTTTCTCTGTCATAACGTTACACTTGTTTATCCTCTATCAGCAGTCTTTATTCCAGATTGGTTCAGCATTTACATGCTGATGTGGCGATACATAACCCAAACCAATACTACTCAAGGGGAACCTCGTACACATTAAGGCTCCTCTTGATAGAGCAAATCTGTTCAGCACATTCTGACAGACAGACCACCATTCTTCTGTCATGTTGCTGTACATGACATTTGTAGAGTTTTTCTTTTTAAAGATAAATAGTATTACATTTAAAGTGCAATACTTTCACATTATCATTTTCCCACACTTTCTGTATACCTGTATTTTATTGTTTTTCAATAAAGAATGACAAATTATTTGTTTGGTGTTTGTTGCACACAAATATATATCTGTAAAAAATATCTACAAAGCTAATGTTTACATAACGAGTATGATTGGGTTTTGCAATACGGCACTCTGTTTATTTTAGTAAGATTTTTAAACCAAGTAAAGTTAGTAACTCCGGTAGTCGACACAGTTAGTAACTCCGGTAGTCGACACAGTTGACCACGCGATTCTACTCAATCGCTTGGAACGATGGGTTGGGATCAAAGGGTCAGCTCTGGATTGGTTTAGATCGTATCTCCAAAACAGGACATTCTGCGTTAAACTGGGTGATGTTTTTTCTTCTTGGGAGGGGCTCCGCTGGGGGGTCCCGCAGGGGTCGATCCTTGGTCCTCTTTTGTTTGCCATTTATCTGCTACCTCTGGGGTCAATCTTTCGTAAACATGGCCTATCATTCCATCTGTATGCTGACGATTGCCAGATTTACTCTCCATTGTGTCAGGAGAAAGGTCACTCTATTCAGTCCTTTGTCTCCTGTGTTAATGAGGTGAAGTCTTGGCTAATGTCCAACTATCTAAATCTGAATGAGGGAAAGACAGAGCTCATTGTTTTTCACCCCAACAGCAGGAATGTGGATCGTTATGCTGATCTTGGCCCTCTTTCTCCATACTCAAAACCAGTTGTTACCAGTTTGGGGGTGAAACTTGGTGTAGGACTTAAATTTGATGCTCACATCAATTCTGTGATCCGGTCCAGTTTCTTTCACCTGAGACGCCTTGCTAAAATCAAGCCTATGCTGTCGAGAGCCCACCTGGAGCGGGTACTGCATGCCTTTGTTATTTCTCGGCTTGACTACTGCAACTCTCTATATGCAGGGTTGTGTCAGTCATCACTGCATCGCCTACAGGTTGTGCAGAACAGCGCTGCCAGGTTCCTGACTGGGACCAGGAAACGGGACCACATCAGTCCGGTTCTGGCCTCTCTGCACTGGCTTCTGATTTGCTATCGCTCACAATTCAAAATCCTCGTCTTTGTTTATCATTTCTTCCAGGGTGGTGGTCCCCCCTATCTAGCCTCACTCCTGAACAAACATTCCCCATCACGTGCTCTGCGCTCCTCTGACCAAGGCCTGCTCGCTGTCCCTCGGTCTAGGTGTCGTACCCGTGGGGACCGGGCTTTCTCAGTCCTAGCACCGTCACTCTGGAACCAGTTGCCACCCTCAGTTAGGCTGTCCCCTTCTCTGCCAGTCTTTAAGAATCACCTAAAAACACACCTCCTCCGCTTGGCGTTTCCAGAACATGTTTGATTTTGGCCCTCTTTTATGTTGAATCCATTCCACAGTTTTCATTGGTACACTCAATCCATCCACT